CAGGGGCTTGTTGGCTGCTCTGGGCCCAACTCATCAGCTTCTGTTTTCCAGTGTCAGCCAACGAAGGGGATGCCTACCCGCTGGGGGCTCTGCCAGTGGGCACACTGATCTGCAACCTGGAGAGCCACCCTGGGAAGGGAGCGCAATACATCCGGGCAGCTGGTGCGTCTCTGACCGGGGGACCCACCATGGGTAGCTGGGTTTGGCCTAGTGCAGACAGAGAGGAGGGCAGGGGGGCACCGCTCTGAGTGGCCAGTGACAGGGATTTGCTGTCCTCTCTTCTCTCTGTGTTAGGGTGCAAAACAGCCCTCCAGAGGGGCAGGGGCAGCTCTGTCACATCGCTTGCCTTGAGGTCCTGTCTTCAGGAAGAAGTGCTGTGTGAGGGGCGATGGTGGGGCTTTAGGGAGTTCGCAGCACAGGGATGTACTCACCACAGGGTGGGATACTTTTTTCTGCTGCTCATGGCAGGTGCTTCCTCTCCTCTTGCTGCAGGGACTTGTGGGGTGCTGCTGAGGAAAGTGAATGGGACGGCCATCGTGCAGCTGCCCTCCAAGAGGCAAATGCAGGTAGAGGAGCCATGCTGTTCCTGACCTAACCACCTGAGCACGCAGCTGTGTGTCCCCAGGGAGGCCTGCAGCTCTTCTCTGTCCCCCAGGTGCTGGAGACCTGCGTGGCCACAGTGGGCCGTGTGTCCAATGTCGACCACAACAAGCGGGTGATTGGGAAGGCAGGCCGTAACCGCTGGCTGGGCAAGCGCCCGCACACAGGCTTGTGGCATCGCAAGGGCGGCTGGGCTGGGCGCAAGATCAAGCCTATCCCACCCATGAAGAGCTACGTCAACCTGCCGCGGGTCACAGCACAGGAGTGATGCCGGTGGCCAATAAAGCATTCTCTGTGCCACTGCCCTCGCGTTACTGCTGCCTTTTCAGCATGGGGCCTCGGGCTGCTTTCCCTGTGGGACGTGTTCGTTGTGTTCAGCCCCTGGCAGGAGTTGGGCTGCCAGGAGAGACGAGTGTGGGGCTGTGGGCTGCCTGGGCTTGAGCGTGGGGTGGGTGAGGGTCTCGGTAGGGTCAAACGGAGCTCCGCACGATTGTGCCAAGCCTGACTGCGTGACAGCCGGGCTCTTCCCCCTCCCTCAGCTTGCGGAGCACCAAAGGCAAGTGGGCAGGAAGGGGGCTGCCACCCATGGCGACCTCGGCACCTCCCAGTCGTCCCCTCGCTGCTCCCCAGCCCCACTTCTGC